TAATATTACGTTGATTCAACTGTAACAAATAACGATTGGAAATACCACATTAATTTTGACAAACCAATACCATACATTTTGATTATCATAAAACGGTTGCAAGTTAATCTTATAAGGTATATACTGTAGGACTTTTGTTAGATAATTTAAAGACAAAATCATTCTTTGATACATAATTTTTCATTTCTTGATCCGTTTTCACAGCGCACGCCATGGAAGCCCTTAAAGATGAAGAATTTTCTCTGTCTTTCCATATTTCTTCACTTCTACTGGAAGCGTGATATCATATATCCAAAAGCCTTTCTCGATAAAAGATCCCCAAAATAATTGTTCAATGCAAACCAGTTGCTCCCCAAATTAGGGCGATCAAACAAACAAACTCTTCAACTTTTTAATATGAGTATAGAAAATAGTGTTTTGTGCAAAATACTATATTTTTTTTATAAGATAATTAAGGACTTCGTACCCTTAACGCGTTTAACCACTAAGCCATGGGGGCGTAACTATAACGTCCTAACTAACGTTCCTTGATATAACGCTTGTTAGTTAATATTATTTCTAAGCTAACAAGCTCAAATATGTTTTTGTACGGTAATGCTTGATTTTTCTGTGTCGCTGTTATTTTTAGTATTACTCTAAGCAATTAGAGTGAGCATTCATTTTCTTTGACACAGTTTTTCTAAGAAAGGTATGAAAAAGTTTAATGAGCACTTTTAAATGGGCTCCTTTGATAGTAGAAAACTGACTTAATATACCTACTTACGTTTATTAGGAACTAGCTGTGTCAGCGACTACGTCCGCTTAGAAAAGTATTTTTGCACATCAAAATTTGTCCTCGGCCCTCATCTCGTCACGTCGTTCTTGCAAGTTAATCCTAGAAGATAGACATAGTGACATTTTTTTAGTATATTTTTATAATTTATCCTCATCCTCCTACACAGCGCAATGTTTTATAATCTCCCTCAACAAATGCTCTAAGGAACACAAACATTTTCAATTTGAACGAGCTTCTGAAATTAGCGCGTTCAAACATACAAACAAACAAACTCTTAATCTTTATATATTAGTATAGATATTTAAATTTTTATATCATATTCATATATACTATATTCTAGACTTATGAATACAAATATATTTAAATACGATAATTTTATTTAGGGATTTATTTAGTTTTTTATTACAGTATTTACAGACAAACAGTACTTGTGGTTTCATATAATTAGTTAGTATCATCTATCTCTTCAAAAAAACTACTTTTTTATAGTACTACTATTAGTCAAAAAGAGATTTCCGAAAACGTATATCCATCAACTTTGAAAAAGACTGGCAAGGTATGTTTTTTCATTGTCATTTCATTCTATAACAAACAAATTTTGGAATATAAAATTATGTAATATAATTAAAGAGCGTAAATGTGAACTGCAATAAATTTTAGTACACATTTGTTAATCTAATTGTAATTTAACAAATTTTCATGAACGGATGTTTAAGTAGATAAATAATATTTTTTTCGTGATAAAGATATTTTTTTATCTTAATTCCACTGGACGAAAAACTGCAAAAACGAGTAGGTAACGTCGCCCTTTCAACTGAAATAAGTATGTTTATGAAGATATATCGCGTATGTGCAAATATATAATTTCGCGTTGCTAGGGAGGGCATATCCATTAATTTTATTAGAAAAACGTACGGCGCCGTTCCTTGTGAAACAAGAGATTGGAAAAGATAATATTGGAAATTGTGTTCAAATAGCGATACGTTTGTAGAAGGATGGAAATATTTGTGAGAATATACGTTATAAGGTTTTACTATTAAGTAATTGCGTTTAATAGCAACAGTGGCACGTCGAAAAGTTTCAGTCTAAAGTTTTAGTTTAGTGAAAAACCGTTTCCCCTCGTGGGGCATGGGGCGAACACATTTCTGTGTCCGTTTCACTGATCGTTTTTTTTATGTAGAGGCAAGTAGTTGATCAGACTTTTGTGCCCTGCCCGACCGAAACAATTTTACTGTTTCCCTAGATTCGAACACAGGACCTCTCGCGCTTAACGCCTTGCTAGACGTTTAACCATTTAGCTACAGAGGCGGTCAATTATTGCTTATTGTGCCCAGGCTTAGACAAAAGAACCAACAAGTTTGTTTATGTATGGTTGTTTAACTGCCTTGGTAGAATTTAAATATTTTCTCTGTGTAATTCACGCGAGTAGTACACAATTAATGACAATTTTAACGGTTTAAAACGGGAAATGTATTAGCTAACTTGTTTTTAATTTATTTTACCTATGACGTGTCCTCCAAAAAAAAAAGCATTCGAAACATCGGGTCGTAGTTAAAATAAATTTTAAACGAGTTAACAAGTATATTTCCCATTTCAAACCGTTAAGAATGAATGAAATGAATAAATGAAATAAATGGATTTTAAATTTTAAACAGGATATAAATTGTGTCAAGAGAATAATTCTAATTCCCCTCATGAAAGCGATAAGGAACTTTTGCTATTACAAAAAGGCAAACTTGTGATGGCGTTGAAGAGAAAATATTGCAAGTTTCCCAGAGTATTGATTCAGGGATGAAACCGCTCTTGGCTCAGTGAGCATAAGTGTTTGCAAACTTGTGAAGCCAATAAGCTTAGATAAGGGTTTAGACGCTTAGGTTTGAAGCTTAATGAACTGTTTATAAGACGATCACATATTATCTATTTCCAATTAAGAAGTATTATTGATTCTAAAGACTTCTTATCCGAGAAAAAGCCAATAAACGAACGAACTTAATGTTTTTATAGTACCAGTGGCACGTGTTTATTGGATTTGTTGGTTGTAAAGCAACTTTTTGGTCTCACTATACTAGAACGAAGATACTGTGAAGTAACTTGAATACTGAAAAAATAAATGGAAAGGTAGAAAAACTCACGGTAATCGAGGTTTGACGGTCTCGTTGGTGTAATATTAGCAATCTTATGCTAATAATCTACGGGTCGCATGATCGATTCCTAGTGTGTCTAACACTTTTCTAATCAATTTATAATTTATCTACAACATGTTGGATTTCGTCTAGAAATCTGGATAATTAATGGGTGATAGGTATATCAAATTAACTAATATAATATAATAAATTTAATCGCGTTTCGATTTCAGTCTGTGGATTTCCGAAATGTGTTATATGGTCGGTGAAATAACGAAACTTAAAGAATAGATACATTCTCCGGCCCCAAAGTTTAAAAATTGTTTGTAGGCAAAACTACGAAACTACTAAGAGTGTCTTCCAATACATTATAACATCTTAAGATTCTCGGTTTTATCGTTTAGGAAAAGTGCTGACATTTCCGTGTTATTGGAAAAAGATTTACATTAAAACGGTTCCAAAAATAAGATTTTATTTAATGCGGGTAGGATAATGAAATTGTCCGTCGTGTCAGCTTAGACCCGGATAAAGCGAGGCGTGAAGTATGTAGTTGTGGGGTGACATCGCTCTGTGTTGGAAAGGTCGACCCTCTTTCCTTATAAATCACAATTTTCATGTTTCAAGGCTTTTTTCTACCCTCCAAATGAAATATTTGCTTATCAACGTTAATTTTTAATTTACAAACATGTACTATACTTAGAGCGGCCGCCTCTGTAGCTAAATGGTTAAACGTAGCCTAGTATTAAGTTATGCGCGAGAGGTCCTGGGTTTGAATCCCGGGGCAATAATACATTGTTTCAATCGGGCAAGGTACCTAGGTCTGATTAACTACGCTCTAGTAAATACAATCGATTAGTTAAAGGGACCCAGAAATTGTGTTCGTCCCATAGAAGCAGGTCTTAACTTCTACTTTGCTCAGTATAGACTCTCGCATTGTTCTTCGTTGAGTTTAAAAGTTAAATAATTAAAAGCATTTTCAAGTTAGCGGTGTACAACATATGGCATGCATATATTTTAATTGTGGAATGTAATTTCAGTCTGAATGTTTATTTGCCTTATTGACTGTCTCTGGCAACCATAAAATCGATACGTGGAAAACTATGTACTAGAATTGTGTTCAATGTTAAAAAGCTCTTCAGGTAACGATTTCTAGATACTTTTCGTTCTATTCCTACAATGAAAAACTTTCATCGGAATAGTCAAAACAAGGTAATTAAAAGAGAATACTTCTCTGTTTCGAGAACCAATCAACTGATTCCATTCAGTTATTGATTTGAAACTATTATGTTCTAGGTTAATTGCATTCGTGACACACACGAATTCTAAACATCGATTTTATAGTTTTGTTTGTTTTGTTGCACGTAAGTTTGGCTGTTAGCCTGTGGTTGTGGACGATTGCGTTAATTTATATTGGGCACGTTGCCGCTTGATTGAATGAAGTGAGAATTTCGAAATAATTATCGATATGACGGCAACGCTGTCGAAAATTTAATAATTTCGATACATAGCCACGTCGTTAAATAACTTAAATTAAATCGCGTACAGCTCGAGGTTACTTTCAAATCAAAATTAGGAAATACATTTTTTAATATTCAATGCATCTTGGAGTCTTTCTTTGCAGATACAATAAATTCAGTATACCAACGAGTGGAAAGATTGGCAAGCTCGTTGGTGTAATGCCATGCAATCATGGGGTTGCGTGGGTTCGATTTCCACCGTGTCCAACATGTTTCTAATCGAATTATCATTTTTCTGAAATATGTTGGACTTCGTCGGAAATCTGGATATTAAATGGATGGTAGGAATATTGAAATTCCGTCCGAGTCACGAACTATCGCCCACAAAAGGAAAAGCTGTTTAGTTGAATGGCATTTCGGTTTCAGTCTATGTATTTCCGATTATCCAAAGTCTAAGTAGATCTACATCACATCTTGTTTAGAGATATATGGCTCGGATATTTCACCTACCATCACCATCGTATTCCCTCCATATATATGTATATATGAGATTTTCCTATTATATATAATAAAAAAATTACATACTTTATTAATTTGAATATTTATTATTTAGTAGAATGTAACAACATGTTTATCTATTCTCAGGGTTGGGAGGGACGAACAGACAATGGTGGGGAGGGAGCTGAGCCGCCTCCGCCAGCGCACGCGCCGCTTGATGCTGTTTGGCAACCAGTTGCTGGCACTAGGTACGTATACGATGTACATAATATGTATTGTATAGAACAAAACGTCGAGAAATTGTTCTCTGTTTTGGTGTTGCTCGTTTTTCCACTAAGTGAAGACATTCTACTGAATTATAGAAATTAACAGCATGAAGACTAAATTTCCCAACAGACTAGTAAAGTAATACTAGTTAGTGAACATAAAAAATACACGTAAGTATCATTATAATTAAGTATTATTTATAAATATGTCCACGTTTTAGAGTATATTAATAAAACACTACGGTTTAAAACGCGAATATATTAGTTAAACTTATTCGGGGGGACTTCCGTAACCCATGTTTGTCGAAATTTTTTAAAACCGGGGGGCGGGGGTGGAAATTTTTTTTTTTTTATTTTTTTTTTTTTTTTTTTTTTTTTTTTTTTTTTTTTTTTTTTTTTTATTTAAATTATTTACAATTTATTTTAACTACGTCCCGAGGTTTTGGGTGCTTTGCATACTAATACATTTCACATATTAAACCGTAAAAATTGTTTTATTAAATTTGTACTACTTGCGTTAACTACAGACAATACTTAACACGTAAGTATTTGTATATAATCCGGAACACCGATAAAGCTTGTTATAATCAATCAAAACAAGTAATCTACACGCAGTATGAGTGAAATCTACGAATTTAAAATTCAAATTAGTACTTAACCCCATTTTTACATTAGCCTCAGTCCTTCACGCAGGCTGTACGAGGACTCGTAGGCACTAGGCACGATAGCGGCTGATAAGAGAAAAATGTGAACGTTATTTTATCAGGTACATTTCGTGAAGTAGCTACTCGGTGCCTCCGTCTTGCCTTTATAGTAATAATTTATTCGTACGATCACATTCTTGAAACAAGACAAGACATGAATTGCACTACAGAAAAAACATATTTTAACATATTGATTGTTTAAGGTTACTGTATGTGCTTGCTGCTTGAAGCTGAGTATTCTTAGACGGATCTTCTCATGAAAGATTAGGAGGCATTCTTTTTGCAAAGATCCCGAATTTCATCCACTTCTACCTATAGCATACCAGGGTTAATTTGGTATCTCAATGATCTTTTCTATCACTCACAAATGTAACCAAAAAAAATCTTTATTCTAATTTATTTATTTACGTAGTTATATAAATATATAAGATATCGCGTTTTAAACCGTTAAAGTGTTTTATTTAAATGTGTACTACTCGAGTAAACTATAGACAGTATTTATTTAGTAGTTTCTGAATCGACAGGAAGACTTACAAATATGAACAAGTATGGGAAACAGATGAATTTTTCATTAACATGTAGAAGTACATATTTTTATCTATTTAGTATAGATATATATTTTAAGGTTGAGAGTTTCTTTGATTGAACGCGCTTATCTCAGGAACTACTGGTTCTAATTGAAAAAATACCTTTGGTGTTAATTGAACTATTTATCATATTTATTATAATTAAAAGGCAACTTTAAATGTTTTAAAACTTTTAAAATGTATTGAATTAGTGGTATAGCTTCAGTATTTTAATTTTAATCCACAAGTGAATTTTACTTAGAAATTGCGTAATTCTCATAAAACTTAAAATATTTATTGTACTTTTCACTTTGAATCCATTGTTACTCACAGTTTATACTTTGCCTCAGCATCCGAGTCTTGCCAAGTTTTGTATCTTTCATTTACATAATTTGAGCCGCTCTCCCAAGTTTTCGTGCCAATCATTCTTAGATATTGTTTTTCTAATCTTTGTTTTCCATTTTATAAAGTTAATGGAGATGGAAATATTTGATTAAAACTTCTAGTGTCATAGACGTTGCGTCTTCGTTGTACTAAGATGGTGTAACTTAATTTTGACGACTCGTTGCTGTAATATTAGCAATGTATGGCTAATAAAAGATTCGATCACCGCCGGATACAACATTTTTCTAATCAATTTGTAATTTCTTCCGGAATGTGTTGGACTTCGTCTGGAAAACTGGATATTAATGGGTGGTAGTAATATAAAAATTCCGTTCCGGGTCACGAAACATCAATACAGATGAAACAGTTTATAAGTTTATTCGCCTTGCAGTTCTTAAATTTCCGAATATCCAAAACTAAAATATGCCAAGAGCGCATCTCTTTTAACTGTAATATGGCTAACTAAAAAAAAAAAAAAAAACATATTTGAATTGTCAAACCATGTGTCACTTTCTATATCTCGTGTGTTATCAATGTGGTTTAATTTCACTGAATATTTGTAATTACACTCTTGTAAGTCTTCATATTAGAACGATAACGAGTATTGTGCATTAGAATTAACTTTAGATTACAAAGGCAATAATTTAAGCGCAAGTGCCCGCGTTAAATCGAAAAGCTTAAATATTGCTATTAAAACCGCCACCGGGCTCAGCTGGCGGGGTGCCAACGATTTGCGCCCCACGGCTGTGTCTACGGTACTTATTTGCTGCCTATTTCCTAAATTTGGGAAGAATGTCCAAAACATTGCGCGGTTATTATGTTTAATATTTTTGCCGTTGTCTTTAACAGGCATACCTACTGACGTATATGTTACATAGTCTTGACTTTGTAGTACCATAACAAAATGTTAGGCAAAACCTTTAACCATTAATCTACAGATGCGACCAAGAACCATAGATTATCAAAATGTTCTACATATTTTAAGATTAAAAGAAACATTAGAAAATACCAGCGTTCGCCCGATTTTGCATTGATAAATAAGTTTAGGCAATGAAATTTTACATTTTATACTATCAAAGAAAAAATATTAAATTAAATCTAATTATTTTTACAATATATCTACGCATTACAAAATAAAATATGCGTAATTAAAAATACCTATCACGGTTCATACCTACTGCGTCGATTCGGCCTTAAACTTTTGGGGGTATATACATTTTTAATTACAACTGTTACTTGCACGTACCTATTTTACTATTTCTAATTGCCCTATATAATATATTTAGTAATAAATTATTTCATTAACTTATAATAGTAAACATTTCGTCCGTTCTTTTTAAATCTATGATGCCACAGATACACTCCACCTTCACTGAAAACAGACCACAGACTGTAAATTTCAAATGTATAAAACACTAGGCCGTTCCACAGACAATTGACTATAGTTAAAATCGACATCTATGATTTCAGCCATTGTGTAATAAAGGTGTGTTAACTGTGGGAACATACGCGATGCAATTCCATTCTGTACGTTTGCTCGGAGAGTTTTCAATTGCTACCAGTTAACCCAGTTTTGTGCTCGGACTTTTATTCTTTTGCGACGTTCGGTGCTGAAGCGATATGATAGAATCATTGTATATGAGATTGCTTTGAACTGTCGACTGTGATTAATCTGGAGTTCCGGTTGAATTCGTAATTGGAGATCGTTTTTGTGCCAATCAAAACCGTAAGCTTTTGTGCACACAGTACGAATAAATACGTTTATAACGTCGTTTGCACTTGATAATTAAGGATTCGACATTTTTTTTCTTTTTGCTATTACTATATAATATGTTTGTCTTTATTTTTGGTTCAACGCTTTACACGAGAGTCTCGGGTTCGTATCCGGTAAATATAGTACGTAGGTATATTGTTTAGGTAGGGCAGGTCTTAGAAGTCTAATTAATCTAATAATAAAGCAACAGCATCAAGCATCCAAAATGTCGGGTCGTAGTTAAAATAATATGTAAGTACATATGTTAAACTTATGTATTTCGCGTTTTAAATTGTTAAAAGTGATTTATTTAAAAGAAACAAAAATATATCTCTCATTTTTGAAATGGTATATAATTTTTCATCTGTTTATAATACAGGAAATGTTCGAGTCAAAATACTTGTACAAGTATGATATTATTTTACGTAAGATTGAAGCGATCGTCTAGAGGTAAACTTGCAGATCTTCGCTTTCGTGGCCTGGATTGAGAAAGCATCAAAGAAATTCAGGTTACTTTTTCCTGCATATGACCGCAAAGCGTCGACGTTCAGCATACATAACTTATGTTTAGCTTCTTCGAATATTACTCTTTCGGAGTAAATGTAGTTGGGATATTTTTTTAAGACAGATGAAGACATAAAACGGAAAAATGTGGCGTTCATTTCATGAAGGATGAAATGGCATCGCCATAAATACATATATATGCATTTAAACAAGATATTTTTTCCTTCTATTTTGTGTTTGAACGTTTGGAAATACCTCTTAGAACTCATTTTCTCTATTAAAACACGACGAAAAATTGCTTTGTTTATTTATAAGCTAAGCTATATTTAAAAAAAGAAATGAGGATTCATAAACTGAGATATAGTTAATAAGTGCGACGGTGTTTGAAAACGTCTTTTCAAATCAATCAAACTAAAGAGGCAATGTGAACGCGAAACCAACTCTGGTTTCTTATAACTATTTCTTTATATTGGTTCCTACTAATGGAATTAGAATGATTATAAACAATACAATCAAATTCAATTACTAGGTAAAAAAAATAATTAATAGCATAATATAAAAAGATATTTAAATAGATAAATAATCAGTACAACACTTACAACTGAAATAAATAATAAAAAAATTACAATTGAATTTTTTATTTGCCCATAAGTAAAAGTGAAATGAAAAACAATATTATGAAGTTATCGTTCTCCTTAAAGTCGAAGGATTTCCTTTTTTATTCCTCAGTCGCTCTTTGAACTGGGTTTCGCGGAACGCCATTCAGAAATCAGCCATGTTTCAACTGGCGCTAAACGCTTTGTACTTTTTTATCGTGTTACAGACACGTTTGAGGTTTTATGTGTATTGTGCTCGCATTATATGGTGTTCCTTCTACTTATTCTTCAGCACGAATATGTGCTTATTCCTAATAATATCGGTGATCTTACTTTAACTCGTAAGGAAATGAAATTTGTCACGCGAAATTGTATGATTAAAATAATTTATATTCAGAGGTGTTTAATCTAGAACTTTACGGTCGTTGAAGTGGGATAATTTATCGAGGTTATTTTTTAGGATAAAGGATCTGAC